TTTTTGTTAAATTCTTTATATTTTAAAAATAATAATGCCAATTATTACACATGCCTTATACGCGACAATGTAAACTACAGGTTTAGCACATTTCCTTTTACCTAAAAATAAAAGTTATTTTAAAAATATGCGTCAATAATTTCTACTGTATTTACTTTCGTTAAATGTACAATTGACCTTTTTAAATTTAAATTACCAAATTTTTCTAATTATGTGCAGTATTAAACTACTCCTAATATACCTATCCTAATAGTATCTAATTGTACATCAATGCATAAATAATTCGTATTCGTAAATCGCCGACGTATTAGCTCTATTGTTCTCGATACCGAACTGATTCGAGTATCTAATATCAATTTTTAACACGAGCATGTGTGTACTTTGCGGTAATCAAAAATTCATTCCTCTAAACGGCGATGGCCTTTGAATACTTAAGTCAAGCAGTACCTTCTTGGTGAAATATAATTAATAAAAATAATAAGAAAAAATGAAATATTACCTTGCGTACTGGATGATAATTATTTTAAATATATTAAACAAGTGAATATAATAAACATAAAAGTACAAATTATAATTATTAGACTAAATGTCATCAAATATTAATTGAAAACAAAACAACGGTAAATTTTATTTATCTAATAGTCCTTCATCTGAATGCAAAAGGTGGCAGCCTTTGGGTATAGATGAAGGGAATGAAGAACTGTACTTTGTCCCAGCAGTGGGATCGGTCATGTGACATGTGAAATTCAAAGTAAAGTTGCTCATCGATGATTTTTTGCTGGCAATGAAATATTATATGCTTCCAGTTGTCGATAACATTAAAAAATGCTTTTGCGGGAATTTTCTCTTCCCCAGTTTTGCTACTTCCGGTATAGGGATTCTGACCACGTGGTCAGATATTAATTTTTTTCAAACGAAAGCTTAAACGCGTTTTTCCTGGATCTAAGATGATACTGCACACATTTTTTTGTGTCAGCTAAAATCCGAGAAAAAACAAATCTGTAACCGGGCGAAAATTGGGACGTTTTTTGAAATACGAATAAAATTGGAACGAAAAGTTGAAAGGAGGGTTAATTGCTCTCAAAATGTTTTTAATGACTTTCAACTACGGGTATTGCCCATAGTGGCATTTTTTATTCACCACGGTACATTGTGGCGACTATTTTGACATTTTTTTCTCATAAACAATTTCTTTTTATTAATTTGTTTAACGTCAGCCTATTTCTAACTACGAGGTTTAAACGTCGACGTAAACACCGACGTTTGTGAGCACGCTACACCCAGTTATCAGAAATTTAACCGAATCCCCTGGTGTTTCAACCAGAGATAGGTATTTTAAACGAGTCCAACATCCATGGAGTCCGGGACCGACGGCTTTACATCTCCTCCAAAAAGATGCCACACCCCACGCTATACCTCGTACTCATTGATATAACGCCTGCCCGCTGTGGTATGCAACTAAGCGAGCAGTTTGTTCGGACGTACGCAGACTTTCATTGAAATGGTCGCCCATATAACTAATAACTGCGCTAGGCCTGGCTTGACTGCAGATATCGATACACAATCTGCTAAGTCGGGCCGCTGTCCATTTCCACCGGCACACAAAAAGATCGCTACATCATCTTAGGTCTAGAAAAACCGCATTTAAGCTGATCCCTAATTTTGTTGAAAAAGGTAAATATCCTGTCACGTGGCCGGAATCCCTATACCGGAAGTAACAAAACCGCGCGACAGAAAATGGTTGCAAAGACCATTTTCAACGTCTGGAAGCATACATTGCCAGCAAAAAATGAAAAATCCATCGATAAGCAACTTTACTTTAAATTTCACAGGTCACATGACCGTTCCCACCACCGGGGCATAGTACAAGTGTCTTTTTTCCTCAGCTGGTTGAAGCACTATAACAAGACAACTTTGAACATATTTTTTTGTTGTTGTTTATTAGTTTAAATTGCAACTAGCTGTGTTTCAGCCAACCATCAATTTGCCTTTATTGTAAACTTAAGAGGCTTTAAACTAGAGTTCTCCCAGTAGTATCTTCTCCTTTATGTTCTGATGAACTATACACTGCACAAGCGCACTGTGCTCTGCTTTACATTTTTTCACATCACTAATTCATATGGTTTGGACCTTCTCATTAGGTATCGGATGTCCAAGTTCTGTAGAACTTCAATATTGACGTGGTCATGACGTCTTTTTTCATGTTTTTTGCGATGGTTGTCATCTCTTCTTCGACTGTAGGCATTCTCAGATCTCTGTGAAGGTCTGAGTTCCTTACATACCAAGGGACGTTTACTACTGCTTTTAATATTTTATTCTGGAAACGTATTTAGGTTATTTTTACTGGCACATCCCCAGAGGTGTATGCTGTAAGTCCATACTGGCTTCAGTACAAGATGTCACACTGTTGCGGTAAAAGTTTATTTTATATTCAAGGCTTTCTAAGCATACTTTGTCGAAAGCCTGAGCTACATCTAGAAATCGTGCTTTGCAGCTAGTAATGTAAAATACCCAGCAATTTTTTTTTTTTTTTTTTTTTTTTTTTTTTTTTTTTTTTTGGGAAAATACCCAAAAACATTTACCCAAAATGGGTTAATTTCTCGATATCTATTAAATTTAAGCAATTGTTATGAAAAATATTTATTGAAAGTAAAACATTTATTTCACAATATCTGAATTGTCTGAATCAGACTGGTTGGACATTAGAAATGTCCAATTGTAGGCTAAGTAAGTAATTATGGCAGTTGGCTCGTTCAGTAGCAGCCGAAGTTACAGTTGCACTTATAATTGCAACGTCTGATAGTATATTTGTGCCACGGATACCTCTCCACTAAGTAAGAGGATTGATCCCTTCCATTCCTTCCCAGATGAACCTTTTCGACCATATTCCTTCCTTATTTCTATAATCTGCTAGAAGACTCCTAATTTCGCCAATTTTTATAGCTGTGTCAATTATAAATTCAATGACATCCATTATTTCTTCTGCAGTCAACTGATAACCTCGGGAGGATGGATCCAACATGGTTGCAGCTAAATTTAATTTTTCTATTGCAAAATCTTTCCTGTCGCTCATTTTTTTCAGTACCAAAGTTTTCTCCACTATTTTCAGTGGAGACAATTGGCCTCAATATATTTATGATTTTGTCAACTTGTACCCAAAATAGTCACGTCGTCAAGTAATAAAGTTTTTAATTATTTTGATAGTGTTACAGATACTTTATTACTTATTGCTAGTTATTTAGGCGAAGGCTCTGTAGGCAGAACAAATGACTTTCCTATCGTGTTTTTACAGCCAGTTTCAGAAAAACATTGATTTTCTTTTAAAAGCTTGAAAAATATTACTGTTTTTGATAGTTTGTATAGTAGCTGTAACTTTTGCCATAAATATTTTGATAGACTCGCAGCTCATTATGTAATTCCAAACTAAATGCATTTGGTGAGCAGTACAGCTTAATGGCACAATGTAATCGAATTTTTCTGTTAATAATCGAAAAGCTCCTCTCATTTGCAGCATTGTCACCAATGATAAAAAAAATTTTTCAGGCCCATACTTTTTTAACACATTCTGTATTTAATTTGACAAATATTTGGCATCGTGTCTGTTGGTTTTGGTAATTATAAAGTCGACAAACCATGGTTTTGGTTTGGTGATGACAAAATTAACAATTGACTCGTTACGAAGGTTACTCCATCCGTCACATTGCAAATGCAAATTTTTCGAATCCTTTAAATCTACTTGTATTTCGCTCTGCAGTGCCTCATATTTATTATTCAAGTAAGATGTGACAATACGATGTCTAGAAGGTAATACGAAAGAGGGCATTATTTGTTTGAAAAATTCAATCCATAATGGATGTTCTACCATTGATAAAGGAGTCCCTCTGATTAATACAGTTTTGGCAAGATATTTTTATATTTATGGGACAGTGTAAACACTTTTGTGTGTTTTTCCATTTTATTCACATTTGGAAACTCAAACCGTTTATTGCAAAATTTGCACACCACTGCTTTTTCTTGTAAAACTGCCAGACAACTTTTCTTCTTCTACCCATAATGAGAGTGAAGATGGACTATGAGTATTAACAAATAATATCACCTGCTTTGTAGATTGACTATGAGCATTGACGAATATATCACCTGTTTTGTGCTTTATAACATCCTTGTCGTGACTGCCATCTGTTATAACATAACCAACAAACATTAAATTGTTTTAGGTTATGTTTTTGGGTAGGTAAATATCTCTTGGAAAAATACCTGGTAAATACCCACAATTTATTTACCTACCCACTAGGTATTTAACCAACTCACATCACTAGGTGCAGCTCTTCTTTTCTTCCAGTGTTTTCTCTTTTTCATTCATTATTCTGTGGACTTGATCAATAGTGGAATGCTTGTTCCTTAATCCAAATTGGTGGTCAGATTTTATATTTTTACTATTTACCATGGGTTTTAATCTTTTTATTAAAAGTTTTTTGAAAAGTTTAGACAGCACTGGTAACAGGGATATAGGTCAATAGAAAATAAATAATAACCTAACGACAAACATAACAGATTAAAATTATGATACTAAAGTCAAAAGTACAAACAACTCTAAATTAACTCCTTATTTTTTTAGATATGCGTCACTTTTTAGTAACACGTTACCTTTGCAGTAGCGCATTACTATAGCAAAATAATGTCGCATTACTTTGTAAAAGTAACGCAGTTACCGTTACTTTTTGCCCATTTGAAAAAGGAATGAAATTACTAGTAACGCTTTTCTGAAAAGTAACATTTTAATTTCAGTATTCCCATAAAACAGATCACGAAAATGGTTCTAAATATTATCTGTTCACACCATATTAGTACCTCCATCAGTAAGAAGCTATTATTCCACTTAAGTTAATCTGAATATTCAACTCTTTACAAAATCTTTGATGCTTTGCATATTTTTTGGTGGGCATTGTGTGTACCTACTTACATTGTGCACAAACTCTGAAAACTGTCTTTTAAATTTTAAGTGACTGACACATCACAAATTCAACAAGTACCTACACAACAACCGCAGCACTCTCCTCAACATCAGCATCAACTACAGCAAGAATATGTAGAGTACAAATTAGTGACAATGCCACATGAAGATCCCAAACAAGGTTATAAATTTTCAGTTGTGACTACTCCAAGTATAAAATTCACCTCACCACAGGTACATCCTCAAATGATGCAATCTTATTCTAGCCTCTCTCAGTATAGTAGTCTCCCTCACGCTGTAAGTTGTTCTTTATTAATTGCTTCTAGATATACCATTTTTTTTAAAGATGTTTAAAACTTTAGAGGCTTGGCACACATGAATACACACAATATTATAGTTCAGCATATTTTTAGAATTTAATTATATTATCGTCTCGGTAGTCCAATATGTCGAGCTGCCGGTATTCATTTACGGGCCTATGGTGGTTTTTATTTATTTATTTAATGGGGAAATCCCTTTATAGTAAAATAATACAGTATTATTTGACTTACATAGATACAAAATTTAATACATTTATCAACGTATCACAGACATCATGTTTTTAGCGAAGCTCTGCTTCGGATGTCAAAGAAAAGTATTATTATTATTATTACTACTACTTTCCATTTTGTATACCACCATTTTTATCCTAACGATTTATTGAACAAAACTAAAATAATCACATTTTTGATAAGTTAAAATATTATTTGCATTGGTTTTCTTTAATTAACAATCTCTTAGGACTATAGATTAACAGCACTTCTTGAAAAACATGGTATATTGCTGAATTTTCAAAAGCAAGTCTTAGTTATTCCATTTGGTATATAATAGATTTTCTAAATGACAAATTCAAAATACCAGACTGCTTGTTATATTTTGCTTAATTTTGATTACTAATATTTCAATTTACTCCTTTTTGCTTTTAATTATTCTAAGTAAGAAAGATCCACTATGACTTGGAAGAACTAACTGTAATTATGATATCTCTAATAGCCTCTATGGAAGCGGGACCCACGGTTTACGTTCCCCATCGAAGTAATAACCATAACTGAGTGCTTAATGCAGCTATCAAACCTGATAAAGCTGCTTTTGTTTTTTTTATAATACCTTGAAAGTTGCGACATCTACAATAATTTCTTTTTATACAATTTAACAGCTGTCAAATCATTAATTTTAATAACAACAATAATAAAAATAATAATAATAATAATAATGGGTGGGTGGCTCAGTGGTAAAGTCTCTGCTTGCGGATCCAAGGGTATCAGCTTCGAATCTAGGTCCTTCAGCCAGTACACTTTGTATGGTATATATGAGGATTTACAAGCTATATGTGTAAGATGAATACGAATATTAAGATACTTAAAAAAAAAACAACAATATGTGTCACTAATTATTGTTCATCGGCAAATTCGTTTAAAGTTTCTGTTATTGATCTCATTGGGTATTTAAACTTTGCTTGACCAATTTGTCGTTGCATCGAAAAATTGTTTATTAGCATGTGATTTTTTGTTTCTTCGAGAAATTGTTTGACAGTTTTCTAATTCTTTCCAGGATAGGCTGAATCTTAGTTTTTTCGTAAAGATATTCATTCGCTGGATGGTGCGTGGGGTTTTCAGGATTTCGCATCTTGGTAATGATTCTTAGTGTAGAAGTTTTTTAATGCAGGTTTTTGGCAGTTTCAATAAATAGTGTGACCGTATTCCAGGAGAGGTCTGCAAATTGTTTTGTAGATTTTAGTGGCCGTGTAGATGTTGATACCTTCTTTTTTGTATGTTAAAGATCGGAAATGTTTGGCTCTGGTTTTAATTTTGTTTGCGGGTATGTTCATTGAAGTTCAGCTTATTATCAATAATAAGGCCTAGGTATTTCACTGAGGATATGGGACAAATTGGTTGGTTAGATATGATGAGTGTAGGTGATGTCGGTCTTAGATCATGATAGGGTATCATTAATTGACATTTTTCTGGGTTAACTTGTAATCTCTATTTATTGAGCCATTGAGCAACTTCGTTATATTGATTTTGTAGTGCTGTGATGGTTTGATTCAGCGTATTTCCATGCCATATCAAGGCCGTGTCATCTGCGTATTGGAGTGTGTAATTTTTACTGCATTGAGGTGTAACTGACCTGAAGGAAAATCAAAGCAATATATGTTGTAAAGGAGCGGAGATAGTGGCGACCCTTGCCGTACACGTTGATTTGTTATGAAACTTGGAGATGTGTGATTATTTATTTTAACTCTTAAGAGTTCTGTTTTGAAGGAAGTTTTTGATAAGAATTATAAGACCATCAGGCACATTAAGAAGTTTTAGTTTAAATAGGAGACCGTTGTGCCAGACACAGTCAAAGGCTTTTTTAATGTCCAACAGGAGAATGGCAGATTTTTTATTGTTCAATTTTGTTGTTTGCACATTGGAAACCAGCGGAGTGCTTGGTACCAGAGCGGAGATTTGTTCTCTAAACCCAAATTGGAATTGTGGAATTCGTTCATTTACTAATGCTGTTAGTTTGACCTTAATAAGCTTTTCGAATAGTTTTCCCAAAACTGGAAGAAGAGTGATTGGTCTGTAATTATCAATTCTTTTGTGGTCTGTACCTTGTTTTGGGATAACGATGATGGTGCCATTTTTCCATTGATCTGGAAAGTACGAGTTTTTGTAACAGAATACAAACATTTTTATAATATAGATATGTATATTTTATTCTAGTTTTTTCACAATTTGTCATGGGATCATGTCCGATCCTGGAGCGGAGTTTTTCTGATTGGATAGTATTTGAAAGTATTTTTCCTCCTCGAATTCTGTGTTATCTTCCTCATTGATTGGGTTGTTTCTAAAATATTATTTGCACCATGAGTTTACATTATTCCAGTTTTCTTGTTCAAAAGATGGGTCTTTCGTTCCGTTATATGTTTTAATGAAGTTCTCCTTGAATTAATCGGCCTTTTCTTCACTGTGGCATAGTCTATACCAGCTGTACTCAACCTTTTTTTCTTTCGGGCCACATAAATCTGTTTGTTATGCTACAGGAGCCACAATATTTTTGGGTGATAACTAGAGTTGTCACCTTTTTGAAATGCAAGTAAAGGACAATGGGTGACGATAGGGATCCGCTTTAAATATTTTCTAAGAAAAAAAAAGTCTTCATGTTGTTTTAATAAGCTTTGAAAAGTCGCAAGGACAGGACTGCAGGTCAACCATTTCAATTACTAATAATCGTGTTTGGGGCACAAAAAAAAGCTTATTAAATTGTTTTTGATGGAACTCTTTCATGTGTGGTGAGAAATTTATGGATCTCCCTGTATTTTTATTTGGTGGATTATTATTATTATTATTATTATTACAAAGCAAGTTTGTGCTTTTTTTATAAGAAACTACGGATTATCCTTCGTTATCTATTAGCCTTTTTTTGGAGATTCCGATAAATTCGTCTAGCGATTCTTCATTCAATTGCTGTAAATTCGTTAGCAACTCGTTGTATTTTCTTTTCGTTGACGTGGAAATATCTTGATCTACATCCATAAATCCGAAGAATTCTTCCCCATCACTTGAACTGGACATGTTTTTTTATGGACTTTGATATTAAACACTAAACTTATCTCTGCTACTTGTCTCGCACAGAAACCAGTGTTGCGTGTTTGAAGGCAGCAAGCGAACTGCAAGACCAGTAATAAAAATACTAATTTCTTTTATTTTTCTACTTTTCAAATATTTTAGTTAGCTTACTGGTGAATAGGTCACATTAAATGCATTAAAAAGGATATTTATTGTTCTAGTTAAACAAAATTTGAACACTACATCAAATATTAGAATATGTCCTAATTTTATTATGCTGACACATTAATAGCAAGTATGATATATATTTTGAAATTCTGTTCAAATTCTAGTTTCGCACTCCCAATTTAGGTATTTCACCTAGAATGGAAAGGCACTTAATAAATAATATATGAAGCGTATTGTGCTCTTAGTGACCAGCTGACTTGTGTTGGATTATTACCGAAACCAGGTCAATTAAATAAATAGACTTAAACATTTTAACTACCTACCTAACAAAAATATTATGGGTTTAATTAAAAACTATATGAGCCGTTTATTTTGAAGTCCATTTATACTTAAATTGAGATGTCTAAGTGTGTGTGTGTAAATTTTGTTTAACTGCATTAATTAAACGTACTGATTATTCAACTAATGCAATTGTCCAAAAACTGAGGTTAACTTGTTAAATACTAATTAATTAAAATTACCTTCATCACTGCCTTCGGACATTATCGATAATGAATATCTTAATTTAAGTATAAATTGTCACTTTCAAAATAAACAGCTCATGTACAAGTGGTTTTTTACTTTCCATTTTTGACAGTTGCAGTTTTTATTTTACGTAGCTATAATAAGCATGGTGGATTTTTCTTGACGCATTATTTCTCCCTGTTAGAAAATATTCTGTGCCCTTATTTTCATTACACTACACATAATTTTATATTACTGTTTTCTATTATTAGTTTCTCCTATTGCAACAATAAGTAATATTTAATAATTAATTCGTTACTCATATAATAATATCTAGAATGAAGATAAACCAAGGCGCAGGGGAGGAACAAGAGGACGAGGAAGATCAAGATCAAATACAAGGGAACCTATCAAAAGACCTCCTCTTGTGTCGGCAGCTAGTGATCCATCATTACTTACTCCACAAAACAGCGTCTTATTGACGCAGTTATTGACTAATAGTAAGTAATAAAATAACTAGATAACTTATTTTTATGGAAAGAAAGCACAGATTCATATAAAGTTTTTAGCTCTGATAATGGCCACAGTGGCGAAACTAGTGGCTTTTTAACCCCCTCCCCAGACATATTACATTTGAGAAAAATGGATGACCCAATCAACTTAACTTTTTTTTTCACACCAACATGTATATTATTCATTTTATGCACAAACAACTATGTACGGATAAATCGACACCCCCTGATTCACTAGCCAAGGAAGCAGCCAACCAAATATTTTTTGGACCTTGCCCTTCTATATGCCTGACAAAATCGGTAGTGACAGACCTAATCAAAGAACATTCCCTTGTGAAATACAAGGAAAGATGGGATGAAACAAGAAACTGCAGAGTTGCCAGGGAGCTTTTAAGTTATCCTGACAACACTGCAGCAAACAAATACTTGACTATGACTAGACATAATCTGCGCTTATTTACAGGCATTCTGACTAGTCATTGCCAAGTACGGAAGCCTCTCCATATCATGGGACTGTCAGAATCCGCACTCTGCAGAGGGTGCGAATAAGAAGATTAGACCATCGAGCATATCCTTTACGATTGCTCAACGCTATCATTTATTAGAAGATTTGTGGTCGGCGAGTATCGGCTAACACCGGCCGATATAAGAGAAGCGCCTCTTGGCGACGTTGTCAACTACATTAAATCTGTTATCTGGCTCGCGAGCTAGGAGGTGCGTATCATCTCAGGAGGATGCACAATGGGCTTAATGAGGCCTAAATGCCGTGGGGGGTAACCCACCCTCCACACGTTACAAATACAAAAAAATACCCCCAATGTAAAATATTGACTTTAAAATCATAACAACACGAACATTTCTTGGTCTATATTAATTATTTCAATTGTTTAATACATTGTTTACTCCTTGTGAAATATTTTCCAAGTCTCAATTCTAGCAAAAACCACCGTCGTTCTTGAAAGGTTGCTATAACTCGTTTATCAATCCCACTTTTCCAAAAATCAATAATTGATAGTGGAATATTTCTCTCTGCTTGGAAGTTTTCACACTTTATGACGGTTTACAAGAAAGGTAATATAAAGAATTATTGAGGTATATCCATAATTCCAAAACTATTTGAATCAATACTAACAGATGAAATGATTTACACGTTTAAAAATTTTATTTTATCTCAACAACATGGCTTTTATCAAGGTCGCTCGACATCAGCTAATTTGACAATCTATCAAGACTTCTTAATTTCAACAATTAAAAATGGATCTGTCAAAAGCATGTGACAGTTTCTGTCATGAATTGCTTTTGAAGAAACTCTCCGAAATCGGTATTCAACGTGTCATAGTACATAATTTCCTATCATTTGTTACATCCTACTTTCTTAATAGCCAATACCTTCTTTTCGCGGATGATTTAAAGTTTTTTAGTTGAAACACGGTTATTGCTGAGCATTACTTTTGATACCACAATATCTTAACAACCACATAGATTCCATAGTATGCAAAGCTGTCAGAGTGCTTGGCTTCATGAAGAGATATACTAGGTACGTGAATGACACAAACGCAATCTGACACTTTACAATAGCCTGGTGAGAATTTTCCTGCAATACTGTTCTCTTATTTGGCAACCTACTTACACCTGTCATATTAATGGAGAATTGAAAGGGTGCAATTTAAATTTGTAAAATATCTGCTTTTTAAACAACGATTTCATAGCCAACACATGTTATCAAACAAGATTATTGCTTTGTGGCATGCAGAAGAAACCAGGCTTTATTGCCATTCCTGATTAAATTAATAGGTTTACTAATAATTTATTGTGTCTAAATATGTTTTTGGTATTTAAATGTATTTCTGTACGCCTATGGGACGAACCTCTGATAAACTTCCGAGTTAAATTTGTAAAATAAAAACCGGTTTACAACTTTTATAAATAGCGATTTTCTTATGGCGCGGTTGTTGGATTTCACATCTCGTATGAGAACGATTGCATTACTACTTTAAGAACACCGTAAACTTGGTTACAATGTTTAATCAGATGCTTGTGTTTCTGCCGAAGACGCTTAGCGTTGGCTTCAGACATTTTGTAAACAATCCTATCTGTCTTGGTTAAATATCTTTGGTGTAACCCTACATGCGCGAGTCCGACTCGACGGTTTTTTTTATTCTTTTCAAGTAGCTATCCATATCTACAATAAATAATTTAATTTTGCTCTCATATTTTTCCTTAATTTTTTTAATTCTTTATAAAAGTTTTTTACTCTCTCTATTTTTATAGTGCTTTTATTTTTTCTAATTGTTGTTTTTGTTTTGTCTACAAATATGTTTTATTTTTTTCTTAATCTCTTGTTTGTTGAGTATTGTTGTTTATCACCATTATTCTTTTCTTTCCAGCAATCGGTCCAAAGTATTAATAAATATTGTTATGGCGTTTTTTTGTTGCTCATCGTAATTTTCGCATGTAAGAGATGTGTTGAAGTTACTGCTGAATAGCTTAACATTTCAGAAAAATCGTTACAAAGGCTTAAAATCGCGATCTGACAAAAAGTTTAAAAAAAAAATGTAAAAAGTAGAACCAAAGCACATTGTTTATTTTAATAGTAGTACGTGAAGTTTGTTAAGAATACTGAATTAATAAGAGTCCTCCCGAAAATAAATATAAATAAAATACCTACATAGGGCACTCTTTAGACTAGGCCATTTTCAAATAAATCAATTTTTGCACTATCTTTTATTTTCAGGTACGAATCACGCTAGTACCATATACAACCGTAGTGTAAGTCATGGTTCACTAGAAAGGATTCCCAGTCAGGTGCGAATCAAAGAAGAAAAAAATTCTGGTCCGGTTTTATCTCAAGCCTCTTCAACAACTATTATCTTACCAGCTCAAGTTAGCATGACTACCGTACAGTCTCCTACCACAGATCCTGTTAGTCCTGTAAGTAATACAGAAAAAGCATTTATCATTGATAGAACTGTCCATATAATAGGTACCTACAATGAAAATTAATTGTGTACATATTTTCAGATACTTTTAAATTCATATAGCAACTCAAACAGCCCCATAATGGATCCCTTGTCACAAAATATTCACTCTCCGACATCATCACAAGGTTCAGTTGGTTCTCCTGGTGGGGAAGGTTCGAGTCACCGTGATAGAAGGGCTGTGCATATACACGCCGAACAGAAGCGGCGGTATAATATCAAAAATGGTTTTGATATGATCCATTCACTTATACCACACCTTAATCAAAATCCTAATGCCAAGGTATATATTTTAATTATTTTCTACAACTAAAGCATAAATATAGATCATTTATTTATCAATGTGTAATTAAGATTTATATTACCCTACAAAAGTTACGTTTCGCTAACGCAAGATGGACTTACGGTAGCACAAAAATTGTCGAAAACTAGCGCTGAACATTATAGTTTTCTGTAACTACAAATATTGCTAATTAGAGTTGGTACGTGAAGCAAAAGAGGGCAACACTTAATATAGATATTACAGAGACGGAACAATATACGTTGTTGCCAAGTATTATATACACACAGAGATAGTTGTCTAGTAAATATTGTCAAGCGGCGAAGGGTTAAAATCGCTTAATTTAGATTTTCGTTGGCATTTTATAGATACAATAACTATTATATTAGTTGTCGAAATAGTAGTTTTTGATTTCTAGATTTAAATGGCATAGGTTGTCCAAAAATCGTCCTGGGAAAAGCGAGTTATTTTCAAAAAGAAAGTTTAATATATGTTTCTAAAGTAAAAATTATCCTTAGAGAAATAATAAAAAATCAAAATTTTCTCTGTATCCTGTTAGGCACAAAATTTCAAATTTGTTATTTGGTCGTAAATGGCACAAAATTATATAAATACTCATTTATCTCTGATAAGTCCAAAAAACTGCCTGTTTTAGCGATTTTTTATATATATATATATATATATATGTATATCCCAGACGTTCTTCCCTCAAAACTATAAATACTGAAGAAGTACTTCCCTCTTATATAACTTACTTCCCTCCGATTTTGGAGGGAACAAGGTTTTGCATTAAATTTCAATTTAATGGACTACTTAACCTCCTTCCTAACCACTGAAGAAAAATTGTCTGGAGGGTCGTTTGTATATTTTTGTCGAGAAAGTGGGCAGTTTAGTTGGAGTTTTGACCGGTGGCGTTGCAATCGTCTTTGTATGTTGGAAATTTCGTTCTATGTTCCCTCCACAAGGTTTTATATAATTTTAATTGAAATAGCGGTTCTTGTTCCCTCCGAAATTCGGCAACACCGCTATTCTATTAGATTCAAGTCAGTTTTAAGGTTACACGTTTAGAGAAATATTTATGTTAGGTGAAAATGACTTCGAGGAGCGAATTACTTGTTAAATTAGCTCTTAAAGAAGGTAAGTCGTATCTATTTTTTAATTATTTATGTATTAATAATAAGATGCCTGCACGCATGGAAAGTTTTGTTTTGTTTTTAGATAAACATTTGCATGTCGAGTGTTTTGGATAGGTTACAAATATTTTATTTAAATTTTGTTATTTTTTGTTATTTGTATAATTATTGTCCATTTTTTACTATTAATATGGATTTTACATAAATAAGATGAAATTTTGATGCAGTTTTGTGTTCAAAGATAAGCATTTTGTATCAATGCATCAATTTATTAACTTACAGAGTAACCTTTAATAGTAAAGAAAAAATACTCTATATGACAAATAGATAGATATAATTACATATTAAAAATTAAAACGTAATTTTAAATTTTAAACAATTTTTCCCAATCATAATTTTTGATATTGTTAGAAATGAAAGCCACACTGTTGCGCTAAATAAACTACTTGTCTTCTGGGTAATAGGTTTTTTATACAATTCAGGAATATTTATTTATTTTTATTGATAACGTATTACTAATAAAGTTGTCGCCAGACTTATGCTAAAATTTTCAATGTTTATAATTTAAAACTACGTTTAAATATGTCTATATCCCTCTATTCTGAAGGAAATACTAAAAGTATTTTGTTATATAAATTAAAATAATCACACGTAAAACCAAATGTGAAAAATTATAGGGTAACCTACTTCCTTTAAAGAACAACTGCTCCATTGGCGAATACCGCAACAGGTATTGAATTATGTACAAAGGAAAAAAACAGATATAGAAATTTAACATTCTACCTTTGATTTTGCTTGTTAAGGAGAAGGTCATTATTGGACCGAGCGGTTTCGTCCTTAAATAGATTTTTCTCAGTTCTAGTCTCTTATGAAATTAACAAGAACACCAAAATGAACCAATATACTATAAGGCTAGTTACGAAGAGACCAAGTATTCACGTGTTGAAAATGGTAACTGCATCTATTCTTAGTAAGCAAATTTAAAGGTCGCTTGCTAGCAAAATGAAAGGTAGAGTGGTGAAATTAACTTTCTATCTTTGTTGTTTTCCTTTGAATTTAATTTAATAACTGCTGCGGTATTAGCCAAAGATGAAGTTGTTCTTCAAAGGAAGACGGTAGCCCTATAATTTGTGTCATATGGCTTTGAGTTTGACTATTTTATTTTACGTCTTGTTCACATTTGAGTTGTAATTATTTTCCTATTTTCTTCCGAATACTGTATCACTAATAAATATGGATTTCTGAATTTTTAACCTGTATATTTTAAACCTGACAGAAGATTTTATAAGAAATATTTATTTTGCTACCGTTTATAGTAAAAAAGTTTATTGAATAGTTCATTATGAATTTGTCAATTTTTTATGCGTATGTTTTATACTGTTTTTTAAGAAATTGCAGATATTACAAAGGGTAACTTTTTTTTGGTCACACTCATTGATTTAAAATGTCTGTAATTCAGAAGTTCAGATATTTTTATATCTATAATATAAATGCTGTTTAAGCGAAAACTGAATTTACTTATATTTTCCTAAAATTTTCCAAACTAACGTGTAATGAAATGTATGTAACGTGGAAATATTATTGCATTGGCAATGTTTTTTTTTAGTTTGTTCTGGTTTAGACGATTGCAACTCTAGTAAAATCTAAAATCTCTTTATCTTCAGATGACGAAAAACCTAAAGACTTACTTTTTTTCTACAACTGGAGACCATTTAGGATCTACTAACGAGTCGCCTGAACTAAAATCTAACTTCTTAAGTTCTGTTTGTGTTTTTTTTTTATATCCATTCTGTATTTTTATTAGCACACTTTACGACTTTTTTCTACATACAATAATTTTTGTACACATAAATGTCCATAGCACTTTTCAAACGTATTTTTTATGCAGTCACTTTTTTTCACTTTTATGATCGGAAACGAAGAAACAAATAATTTTAAAACTTGGACTTTCGCAAAATAAACAAATTTTCGTTTCACGCTAAGCAGTAATTGCTTTTTGCTAGAAACGAAAAAAAATGAATGTCCAAAAATTAAAATTGTTTGTATCTCTTTTTCTTCTTCTGCTTCTCCTTATTCTTCTTCTCTTCTGCAGTTTTGAAAATAACGGCGTCATACATATATGAATGACATGGCCCCACAGAATATTTTTCTCTAAGAGGCCGCGTCGTTCATATACATATACTCGTATTAATATGACAGTATGAACATTAAAAAAAATGCCAAAAAAAAAAACAAAAAAAGTACAATGTTTTTATTAAAATCGAGTAAACATAATTACGCTAGTAAAACAAAAAAAAATATTTGGCCGTTTTTACAATTGTGGCTTGGCAGCCAACGTGATTAATGAGAGACCGAAAACTATAATAATCTGTAAAAGAAAAATATATAAATATTAGAATTCTTTGGTCTTTGGCAGCATTTTTTATTTTGATTTTTAGATAATTAAGAAAGCGGCGATGACTTCCCTTTAACCAAAAAAGGACGAACACTTTCAGATCTTGTTAATATCTCTGTAAAAAAAACGAAACAGAATATTAAAAAAGGTAAAGTATTGTCATGAAACATGAATTTATAATTTACTTCACAAATGCTAAACACTTAAGTTCCAAACTAATAATAATTATATTATTCGCTTTTATCAAAAAATAAATTAAAAGGTATTATATATGTATTAGCTTTCCTTTTAATTTTTAGGTTGGAGACCAGAAGAAGTACAAATGATTAAAGAATATTTTAAAAGCGATATGGCCCGAAATACTTACCCTTCTGGTGAGAGGATAAAAGAGTTTATCCAAATCAATAAACTTCAACGAAGCGTTCCAGTTGTTAAATCCAAAATTGAACATTTACTTAAATTATGCAAGCAATAGCTATGTTCGTCTTGCGTTTTTTAATTTTTATTTTTTATTTTTAATAACATTGCTTTAGCTGAGAAATGAACATTTATTTAAGCGCAGTTAAAATAAGATGTATTAAGAATTCTTATAAACATAAATAAGTACAAAAATTATAAAACAAAATGTATTAATACTACTTACCTACTAAAAAATTACTCGTCTTAAATATCAATAATAGTATTATTAGCAAAATTAATAACGTGACGCGGTTATATGGAAGTGGTTTTTGAGATATTTGTCAAATACAAAGAGCTCTTCTAGCCCGTCGCGCCACGCAACTTTGGGCACTATTATGATAATCATCGGTAAATAGTCGTACCAATATACAAATTTCGGAATTTTTTGTTTAAAGTTAAAAATCAAAATATGAAACACCATGTTTCATTGTTTCCACCTAATTTTCTTTAAGAAATATGTCTACACTATTTAATATTTCTTTCAAAAAACTAAAAAATGTAACAACATGCCTGCTACTTACGTACCTCTTTCGCATCAGCTAAACTTTAAAAAATACACAACTTTATTGTAGCATTAAATAATATAAAAGGAATAACAATATTACCACGTAGTGCCCTCCACAATATGGCAACAGCGCTTGAGGGAAGTGCGACTAATTATTACATAAAAAATACTATAGAATCGGAGGGAACTAACACTAAACAATATCTTTAAAATATATATGAATTTTATTGATGGAATTCTTTACCCCTCTCTTGAGGGACATATAAAGACACCTCCCCTTAATATATATACAGAAGCATTTTGCTATATATGCAACAGAAATACTGGAGGTCGGTCCGTCTGGTGTTTATAATGGAGGGAAGAACGAATTAACGATACATATATATATATATATATATATATATATATATATATATATATATATATATATATATATATATATATATAAAATCATTATCAGATGTAGTATACAACATTCCTTGTCTAGAATGTAATAAAGTCTATATTGGTC